ACTCTGCTGCTGGACTTGACTCACAGGAGAGAGAAGTGAGCTCATGTCACTGGCCTTTCTCCCCCAGAGCCCAGATTTTAGCTTCTGATGAACTTTCCTGACACCACGGCCTCTTGCCAGTCACAGTAAATCTAATCCTAAGTAGCATATCAAATATAACTCTGCCAAGCTTGTGGTTTCAATCACCCACCATCTAGATGCCCGTGACCTTCAGATCTGCCCAAGCCAAGTTCTGGCAATTGACCAGAACGTTCCACGTAGTTGCTGTCCTCTCCCCAGCTGGCCCCTCCCCTGATGCTATCTCAGTGAAGGGCGGCGCCACACCCCCGGCATCCTGAGAGTTGTTTCCAACTTCCTTTCTTCCCACTCCATCTCTCTCACATCCACAAGACCCCAACTTCTCCATTACGCTTCCTTAAAAAACAAAATCTCCTCCACCCCACCTCTGAAGTTGCTGTCGCAGCTCAGGCCCTCAGCATTCCACGTCTGGTCCATGGCAACCACCCCCTAACCGGTCTCCCTGCCTGCAATCTCCACCTCGAGGCCTGCCCTGCCCTCTTTAACCTTCTCACGAATCTTGCTGGTCTCCAGGACAGAGTCCAGCTTTCTGGGTGAACATCACAACCCCCTGCCTCTGCCACCTCGTTTCCCAGTCCCCCATCCCTCCCTCAGCACCTCCTCCTACAGGATATGACACAAAGAATTTGTCACAGCTCCAGTAACATGCCATGATTCTGGTTTTTGCACACCCTGTTCCTTCCATCTCAAATGTTCTCCCCAACTCCTGGGCTTGGCGAACTCTTACTCCTCCTTCAAGGCCCAAGGAAAGGTCACCTCTTCCACGAGGCCCTGCCTGATTCCCCCAGCGACAGCAGCCTGTTGAACCCTGCTCCGTGCTGCTGTGGAACTTGCCCATCTAGCTCTGGGTTCATTTCACTGCATTTACCAAGTTCAGAGGGTCTGTCTCCCTGACTGGCAGGGGGCAACTGTCAACAGGGAAGGGAGGCACTTTTATTATACTTGAAATCCGCAGCACCTAAGGTAATGTCGGCACAGAGTAGGTACCCAGCACACAATATTGTCACCCACTTACTAAGTGTCTACTATGTGCCAGGCCCTGAACGAGATGCTTTATCAAAATTACCTCATTTTATCCTCAAAATCACCCTGCTGGGAGACATGGGGTAGAGGTTCAGAGAGGCTGAGCAGCTGCGTCAGCTCACACAGCTTGTGCACAGCAGTGTCGGAGTCTGACTGTCCACCTGCCACACTTGGTTCTCCCTCGGGAGCTGGCCTCACCGCACGCCCCGGGGGGTTCTCCAGAGAACCACCAACCCTTGGAGCTAACCTGACCGGGCTGCGGAGCGGCCCTTCATCCTCTTATTCAGCAAACAAGTTGGGATTTCTTAAAAAGGAACTTTGAATAGCAAACCAATGAAAAGCTACCCAAGTTATTTTTATATAATTCATATACCTAACTTATTTATATATATGTGATGTTGTTAATTTTCCTATACCGATAGGCAAATTCAGGTCCACCATCTGAGTTGTTACTTCCTCCTCTCTGAAATCCGGAGGGACTAGATGACCTTGAAGATTCTTATCAGTGTTGATATCCTGTGATTCCACGATTAGTTTTCCAGATGGATGGTGGGCTGGTGAGTTTTGTTGGTAAGGGCGGTATACTAGGGGCACGGCAATGGGAGAGGGAGGGTATGGCAACCGAACAGCCCCACCCCCTTCCCCATCCCTTTATGACTTTGACCTTAGAGGTCCACGGAGAGAGGGGGCACTTCTGAGGGCCTCCTCCTGCCCCCTTACCCAGCCTTCAGAGGGCCTTGGCCAGCCTGAGGGCAGAGCTGGGCCTCGATAGGCCCTTAGCTTGGAGCCCAGACTGCGCGTTTCCTGCTGGGCCTCCGAGGGTCCCACCCCCACTCTGGGCCTCAGTCTGTGCATCTTCCCCGCTTTGCGCCATCCATTCTGGCCTCCCAGGCTCTGGCTCCTCCTCCCCTTCCTATTAGTGGGACCCTCTGGAAAGCCCCGCTCAGCCCAGCACAGACACAGGAAGGGGAGAGGGGAGGCTCCAGGGCAAGTTCCTGCAGAGGCCCAAGCGCTCAGCTGTGGCTGTTGGAGCCCGTCATTTCCCTTCCCCCGCCCGCCCAGCTGGGCTGCTGAGAAGTTTCATCACTGCTGAGTTGTTGTCCTTATAAGGGAAGGACCTCCAGAGCCTCTCCCTTGGGCCACAGCTGGCTGATAGAGAGGCTGTCATCTCAGGGTATCCTCCAGGTGCCAGGAAAGGTGGGGACACCCCAAGGCCACCAGAAGTCCCCTGGGCTGAGCCTTCATCTGAAGTCACAGACTCTCCAGAGAAAAAGCAGGAAGCAGTTGATTGTGGTCCCAGGCCAGGACCCCAGGGGGTCTGTTCCCCAGGTCCTAATACTAACTTGTGGTCTCCCAGGCAAATTGTATTGTCTCAGTTTCCTAATCTGTAAGCAGAGTGAACATAACTACATCTTCCTCATGAGGCCCTATGGTGATGCCGAGAGACCGACACAGGCCTGCCCGATAGCGGGTGCTCTGTGAGGCAGGGTGCTCTGTGAGGCCGGCCTGCTGGGGTTTAGTAAACGTCTTCTGCGAGGCAGGCTGTGGGCTAAGAACAACCCCGTGACAAGAGGAGAACTAGCCTGTTTTACAGGCAGGAAAAACTGAGGCACAGGGTGCCTACGATAACTCATTCCTGCCTGGGCTTTGAATCTAGATGTGTCTGCCTCCAGTTCTGATAAGTCATGGTTTTTCTGCTTATACCGGGCTACTTCCCCCAGGAATGTTGTCCCTTTAATAAAATGAGAACAGGGAGGAAGTCCCACCATCACCTCTCTGTCCTCTGTTCCCCCACAGAGCCTCTCACAACACAGAGCAGCCTCCACTTGCGTTTACGTGGCCTTTTCGGACAGTCCTGTCTCACGTCTTCGGACATGTCTCCTGGAGTGAGGAGAAAGGCTGGAAAAACTTGGAAGAGGCACAAAACTCGGTGGCTCCAGAGAGACATGGGGAGCTTTCAAGTCACCGGCACAAGTAGGGGCAAAGATGGGGGCAATCTGGATGCCCTCCCCCACCCCCAGTTCCTGCTCCTGTCTGAAGCAGCCACCTTGTGATTTGCATCATAACTACCCACAGGCCCTCAGGGCATGGAGATACCACAGCCTGTGTTCAAAAGGATGACCATCTCTGCACAGACCTCCAGCCCCCAGGACCTAAGGGAAAGTTAGTTCTCACCACATCCTTTCTCTGCCCTGTGGCTGGCTCCTGACACCTTCCCAGCTGCTGTCCCCTTGAAGGAAGTCCTCCAGAGGAGACTTTGTCTCTGGGCCAGGGTGGGGGGGGACACACCCCATCAATAAAGGCCCTCCTCTCCCTTACCTTGTCCTCCTCACAGGTAAGGGGCCCATGAAGGTGAAGTGATTTGCCTGGGGTCCCCCAGCATCTGCCAGCCCCTCACTCAGTATGGCTGTCACATGTCAGGCCAGTGGCAGGGGAATTCAGGAGAGACATGAGGGCCATACTCATAGCTGACAGGCCCGCGATCAGGTGCTTCCTGTTACGTTGGCCACAGGGACAGTCCAGCAGCCCTAAGGAGGAAGGGAGGCAGCCTTTGGGGAGCACGCTGGTGCTTTCCCACATAGGGGAGTGGGGAGCATTGCAACTCCCCTTTTGTGAGTAAGGAAACTGAGGTCCCCTAAGGCTGAGACTCACCATCATCCCTGGGTGGGGGTTGAACTTGGGAAGCTTGACTTAGAGCTCTGTCCACTGGCCAAAGAACACTCAGTGAAGCTCTGGGGTCCCGCTGAGATGTTTTATGAGTGCCACGGGCATACGGCGGGGCCCAAGCTCACGCCTAACCCGGACCAGGCGCTGAGGTTAAAATAACAGCTGGAATCACTTTGCATCATCATAGGAAACACCTGTGCAGGCAAGCGTCCTCAGCGGAGGCTAAATCTAGGGGGTGTTTGATAAGATGCCACATATTTGTGCATGGCCTTAAAATGTCTTCCAGACTGCATATTAGTCGCCAGAGAAAGTCGTAAGTCTCCAGTAGAGAAACCAGACACCTAGACTGGGTGATCAGAATTAACATCATCACTGTGGGGAGGATGGATGGATGCTTGTCTCCAGATGTGACATCCAGAGAAAGACCTAGTAGCACCTGGGCAGTTGTCTGGCTGAGATTCCATAACCTCAACCTAATTATGAGGAGCCCTCAGACAAGCCCAAAGTGAGGGATGTTCTGTTAAAAAGGGAGTTGGAGTGTTGGAGGGGAGGGCTGTATTCTTAAAAAAAACACCCATGTCATGGAACACAAAGACCGCAGAACCATTTCAGATTAGAGACGAGAGACATGTATGCAGTATCCGACCCTACACTAGAGGAAACATGTACAAAGGATATTATTGGGTCAAATGACAAATACGAACATAACTATTCTAGCAGTGTTGAATCTTCTGAAGTTGATAAATGCACTGCGGTTACAGAAGAGTACACTTATTTCTGGAACTACATACTGAAGAACCCAGGGGCCAGGGACCGTGCTCACTCTCCAATGACTTGGAAAAAAACTGCGTGCATGTTAGAGAAAGTGCTCAAAATATAAACCCATGGGTCAATCTGGGTAAAGAGTAGAAGGGCGTTCTTTGTGCCATTCTTATTCTTGCAACTTTTCTGTTTGAAATTCTTTCCAAACGAAACTTTTAAAAAGTTGAAGAGCCCTGTTCGCTGTGACAAACCCCAGCCTGTACAAACGTGTGTGCAACCGGGGCCCGGCCGTTTAGCAGACTCAGAGCACTGTGGGAGGGCGAGGCCCCAGCCAGCCTATGGGAAAGATGCCCTAGAAAGGGGTTTGGAGGACCCGTGAGGCCACTGATCCACCGCCTACCCCCTGCTTCCTTGATGTCTGTCAGCCCTGGAGCTGGCTCTGACCAACAAAGAGGCTCGCGGCAGAAAGGTTCCATAAAAAGGGATTTATTACCAAACATCAAGAAGGCGCTTCATAAGCAGAAGACGTGGAATGCCATCCTCCAGGAGGCAGGCAAGGCAGCCTCTGCATATTCCCCACCCTCGTCCCCTCCGCCCTCTGGAAGTTGGCTTCCCCCTTGGGGTCCAGGCTGCCCGGGCATGGAGACCCCACAAGGACCAGTGGCATTAGGCCACTGAGGCTGCCCCAGAGCTACTCCCTCAGCCTGGTCACTTATCAGAGGAGGTCTGTTCCCCAAAGTGAGAGCCCAGGGGCCACAAGATTGTGGGCACTCGATGCCGTTCTTGCTCTTGTCCTGGAGACAGATGGAGGGCCAGGCAGGCAGTGGCATGGGAGCCTAGTGTATCCAAGGAGTGTGGTTTGGGGAGATCTGTGGGGGCTCACGAGCCACGGCACTTCTGCTCACACCCACACCCGCCCAGTACAGGCTGCGGCGGGCACAACGGGGGGCGGGGGTGGGGCAGTAGGCAGAAAGGCCAGACCCTTCCCTCTCCTCCCTCAGTAAACGAAAGTGCACATGCAGAAACCCCCTGAGCAAGCCTGTCGAGCTGCTCCCACTCCCGCCAGGGAGAGTGGCTGCGGCCCTCTGGGCCTTCGTGCCCCCAGGGTCTGCCCTCAGTCCGGCTGTGGCAGCAGGACAAAGACAGGGTGGGCTCTGGGAGCCGGGGGTGATTGGGAAGGGTGGGGTGAGGGGCAAGCGGGAGGCCCGGGGTGCCGGCACAGGCCGGGAGAAAACGCTCCTTCCATCAGAAACTTCGGGAGGAGCGGTCTGTCTAGGGCCTGAGCCAGAGAGGTGGTGTGTGGGGAAGTGGGGATGCAGTTCCAGGTGCCAACACAGCCCCTCAGCATTAAAAGGAAGGACTGCACTATTGGACCTGTTTGGGCTGTGGAGGAACTAGGGACCCAGACACAAATTCCATCTGGGGAGGCACAGAAGTTGGGCTGGCTTCTCTTCTGAAGGCTGACTGATAACGAATTACATACAGGATTTTCAGATGTTGACGGCAGGCCATTTCGGAGTCCACCTCTATAGGAATGTGCAAAGCTGGACACAAGTTGGTCCAGAGGCAGGAGCTAGACTAGGAGAACTTTCAAGTTCCTCCTCCACCCTGGAGTCCTCCAGGCACAGCTCAGCAGAGGGCAAGGCTGCAGAATAGGAAGGCCCAAGGAGGGGCCACGCGGCACATGGCTTTCTCACACAGAGGCCTCCAACCTGCCCCCAGAGGCCACTGCTGGGTTCCAGGTCTCAGCTGAGGGAGGAATCTGCCGCCTAGACTCGAGGCCTCAGCAGCTACTGGGGACAGGTGGGTGGGAGGGTCGGTTACGAACTGGAGCCGCCTTTGCCACGAGGCTCTCTGCCGAAGGACATCTGGACACAGAGGCTGTGGGGGCTCACCCACGCTCTATTCTGGAGTCAGGAATGTAAACTACTGGGGGAGAGAAGCAGAGATAATGCCACCCCCAGAACCCCCAGAGCTGTGCCACAGCCATGGGTCAGTTGTTCGGAACAACCACGCAAGCACAGAAGTCCTGAGTGTGTGCTCCCAGCCCAAGCCAGAGCCCAGAGGCCAGGCCAGGCAGCCAGACAGCAGCCTGGGTGGCACCTGGCACCACAGGCACCACTGGCCCAGGCAGGGCAGGAAGGGTACCAGGAGCCTCTGGAGGTCCTGGCCAAACCCTGACATGGCCGATAGCCCTTCAACAGCCGGAGCAGAAGCACATTTCTCAGCAGGGCTGGGCTTTGGTGGACAGGGCCAGCCAGGAGGGACCATGACCTGGCCTGGGAGGCCCTAGGGTGCACTTCTCCTGTAGAGGGTCACCAGCTCCTTCCGCTTCTCCTGTAGCCCAGGTGCTTCCTGGGCATGGCTCAGCTCTCCCAGATCTCGCATGTCCTGCAGGACCTGGGTGGCCTGCCTCAGCTGCTCCACAGCCTGGCTGAGCAACGTCTCAGCGCTCACCGGGGCCGGCTCACTGGCCAGCACCTTGTTCAACAGTTTCTCCGTCTGTTCAGAGGCCACCTGCACCTCCAGCTGGGCCCGGTACAGCCGTCCCCTAGGCTGCCGTGGATGCTGGGGGCCTTCCCCAAGCAAGTCCCCCATGGAAGAGCAGCGGGGATGGAACGGAGGAGACTGGTCCCTGGGGAACAGTGCTGTAGACGTCGTTGCATTCTGTGGGGGAGTTCCTGGGGTGTCCTCGGCCTGGGACGGCTTGTCAGGCTCAGGCCCGTCATCCACTCCATTCACTGAGACCTGTGCTGGGCCTGGGGCCAAGGTCTCAGAGGCCTCCGGACTCTGGGCCAGCCCTGAAGCCTCCACCCCAATCATGGAGGCTCTCAGTTTCTTCGATAAGATCTTGGGTGGGGGCGTAGGGGGCTTCCCACCCTCCTTGGTCGAAGCCTCAGAAGTCTCAGAGTGGGGCACCGGGGGTGGTTCTGCACTCTCGGGGTCAGGGGGCTCCTCGGAGCTGGGGTTCTCCCAGCTCACCTTCAGTTTCTCAGGCAGGACCTTGGTGGAGAGCTGCTCAGGGAAACTGTCCTCCCCCACTGTGGTCTCTGAGTCCTCTTGGCCCTCAGGGTGAGCCTCAGAGCTTGCTGAGACAGGGGTTGGTGCTCTCTCCCCGACAGGGGCTTCCAATCTGTCACCAAGGATGGCCATCTCGGGCACTGGGGAAGGCTTGGTAGGAGGCAGGGGGGGCCGGGGTATCTCCCGGGGCTGGGCCGGACTCACGTCGTTGCTGGGAGTGAACGCCGGTGGCCTGCTGTCCAGAACATCAAGGTCCAAGCGTGTAAGTCCGTCAGAGGCTGCATTGGCTACCTGGTCAGGGGCAGCATACGGCACCGTCTTAGGTGACTGGCCTTGGGGTCTGATGTGCCCACCTACAGGGGTACTAAAGCTTCTCGTCCCAGCTGCCCAGGTCCCCAGCCCCGCACTCTCCAGTGCCTCTAATGAATCCTCTCCCCTCTCTCCCACAGAACCCCGTGTTAGAGTCATGGGCCAGGAAGGCGGAGCCAGGGCGCCCTCTCGGTGCCCCGGCCTGGCTTCTTCCAGCCAGGGAAAGAGCTCATTCTTTTTAGTGGCTGATGTCCTGGCTTGGGCAGTAGGGGACATGGTTCCAGCTCTGTTTCTGATGCTTCCTGGCTATACGGCCCTGAGAGTGTCGCTTCGCTGCAACCACCCGTCTGGGTTCCCATCGCCAGTGGGCACGGGACCAGGACTCAGTGGAGGTCTCCAGAACCATCTGGTGCTCGCTCACCTCTGCTTCCCCTCCCTGGAGCCCGCTGCCTGCCCACCAGCCCCACGCCCAGCCCTCGCCTGCCCAGCTGCTCAGCAGCCTGTGCCCACTTTCCTCACACAGTCAGATGTGGCCCCAGACACAGGCAGCCCCAGACTGTAGCTGACTGCCAGAGGGGAACAGCTGCACCAAGCAGACAGCTGCCACCAACCTGGCCCCAGGAATCCACAGGGACACCCAGCAGCCGCACACGGTCGTGGGGACCCTCTCAGGGAGTCTCAGGCCCTGGAGCAGGGCTGAGCCGTAGGCCTCTCCCAAGGTCCCTCAGAAGGTGGGTGTCCCGGCTGAGACCCTCACCCCCTTTTACAGGCACACAGGTGATGTGGCCAGCACACACACTCAGCACTGGGCCGAGAGTCCCTCCCTGAATTCAAAGGGTGTCCCCTCTGAGGCAGGCTCTCCGGCACCTCCCGGACCTCCCCCTCCCGCGTTCCTTTCCTCGCTGGTGATTTCACTTGTCCCTCTGCACGCGCTTCCCCGAGCTGACAGACGCGAACAGGCTGCCTCACCTCAAAAACAAACTCTCCGATGACCTTGGCCCCTTCCCTTCTCCCTCGTCCCTCCTATGGCCACCCCCTCTAGCACCCCCGGCTCTGAACCCCAGGATAGCCCTACGCCGACTCCTCTGAGAACACGTGCTGAAAACCAGGGTGTCCAACCCGCGGGCCGCGTGTAGCCCAGGATGGCTAGTGCCCAACACAAAATCCTAAATTTACTTAAAACCTTTTTTTGCTCATCAGTTTTCATATATTCAATGTGCGGCCCAAGACGCCGAAAGGTTGGACACCCTGCATTACCGCCTCCCCATGTGATTTGCGGCTGCCCGCCTGGCTGATGACCCCTGGGTCCTGTGCCCTTCTCTCCCCAGATGGACACTCACCTCTCTGGCCTCCTCTTCCTGGGCTCCCTGCTGCCCCATCCCCCGAATGCAGCACTAGCTGGGTTCTGTCCCGACCTCTGAAATCTCTACCCCCATCCTCAGCAACACTGGTCTGAAAGGGGCTCCGCACTCAGCCCTCCCCTTGCCACGCCTTCTCCCAAATTCCCTGTGCCCGGGGCCTCGGATTGCCCAGCCTCCAGACTTGGGGGCACCTCTGACGGTCCTCCTCTGTACAGTTTGCCTCCCCCAGTCCCCCAGTCAATTGCCAGCCCAGGGACTTTTGCTTTCTAGTCCCTTTCCCATGGGTCCCTCCCTTTTCAACCCCTTGGGAAGCCTGGAGACCCAACTGTTCCCCTTCTTCCTGGTCCCCTGCCTTTCCCTCCCTCAACCCAACCCACCCTACCCTGGGCTTCGAACTGACCTCTGTGATACACCCTCCTATCCATCCTCAGTTCCTGCCTTCAAGGTCTCCACAGTTCCCTACCCCTAACCCTACCCCCTACAGATCTCCAGTCAAAGGGACTGGGTGCTCCATGCCCTCTCCTGCCCCCGGCTTCAGCTCACACCACGCCCCCCTCCAGCTCCTCCCTCACACCACACCTGCCACCTAAAACCCTTCCCATCCTTCAAGGGTCAGCTCCAGTGGCGATACGTCCTCCATGGTCCCTCCTGCCTCAGCCTCCCCTCTGCACAAAAATTAGACACAGCTCAGGCTGGAGCATGTCTTTGCTCCAGCTGGAAGCTGAACTCCGAGAGGCACGGGCTAGCCTCGGGGGTCTCAGTGTCAGGCACTAGCTCCAGCTGGGACCAGTGTGTGGACCCAACCAGCAGGCCCATCTACGCCCTGAGCACATCTGACACATGTGCCTCCCGCAGGCCCCCGCACACCACTCAGGAAGCCCCAGCTCCAGGAGTCCTCGGGAACGGGGAGTCCTGGGCCCGGCAGCCATCCGAAGGAGCTGGAGTCCGAGGCTCTGCTGACCTCCCATCTGTCCAAGCTGGGGGCAAAGTCTTACCTCCTTCAGGTGGATTCTTGTAGGTGGCCGGCGCCGCTGTCCCCCACGCACTCGGTCCCGAGTCACATGTTCCAGGGCACAGCTCTTGTCCACCTTTACCTGGGGAGGAGAAGGAAGCAGGTCAGACCCTGCCAGGCCTTGGGGAGAGAAGGAAATGCCCAGGGACTAACTCGAAGTCAGAGTCTGTGCCCGCGCCCTCACTTCACAGGGTCAAGAGCCCCACTGCTGCCTCCGTCTCTGAAGCATCTCCCCACATCCCCACCTCCACTCGCCTCCCTGTTTCTGCACTGCCTTTGTCATCTCTGCAGCTTGAGGGTCCCCCTCTCTTTGCAGCTGCCCTCTTGGCTTCCATCTTCCTGCCTGAATGTGGGCCATCAGCCCTTGCCCCTCAGTGCACTGCAAATGCACAAGTAGCCCTGAGGCTGCCTTGGGGCTTGGCTGGGGGTGGGGGGAAAGATAGCCCACGATCCCCTGGTGCCTGCTTCCACAACAGGCCTTGCCTGGCCCCAGCCACTCTCCCAGGCCCCGAGGAGAACAGGGTCTCTGCCCTTTGGTCAGAGTACCGAGAGGGCAGCATCTCCTCTCTGAGGATAAGGGACAGGGGTGGAGTAGCCCAGGAAGTCCCAGAGTAAGATCCACAAAGGAAATCCAGACTCCGGACCCCGGAGCAGCCTGACTCTGTGACGGGGGTGGGCTAAGACTGTGCAGCCCCCAGGTCAGGCTCAGAGCTCAGGCCACCTGGGGGTTCAACTGTCTCTGCTCCTCAGAGGAGGAGCAGACCAGCTCCACCAAGACTGTGGGATAAGGCCCAGCCCACATTCCTGTGGCCTCCAACACCCAAAATATGTCCCATTACCCCTGTCCCACAAAAGGGGAATTTCTCCCCAGCGAGTGAAGCACTGAGCATGACACAGTCACAGAAGACAGGACTCAGGAACCTTGGGAAGACTGGGCTCCCCTTGGGTCTCAGAGTTCAAGGGTCACCTCTGGGGCCTCCAGGTCCATCGTAGCCCAAATAGCTGTAAATCCGTGATGTCAAGGATAATCCTCCCTAGGAGATCTGGCCCCAGGGGACACTTTGCCTGACTGTGGTCACTGTTGCCACCATCACCACTATAGCACAGGGGGACAGGTGGCCACTGCAGACAGGCGGCAGGCCCAGGGCCAGCGGCAGCCTGGCTTAGACGTCATGGCCACACTGAGAAGGGGCTTTCTAGCTCTCAGCTCACCCCCCAGGCCTCTCCGGCCCAGGCCGACCTGCCACTGCCAGCTAACGCCAGAAAGCACTCACGGCTACAGCCAGCTCAGCTCTACCCCCCCCACTTACCCATGTTCGCATTTCAAACATGTCACTTAGTTTTCTTACACCTCAGTTTCTTCATCTGTAAAGTGGGAATGCTATCACCTACTTTGAGGGGTGTTGCGAGGATTAAATGAAGTAACAACAGCAGGTGCCCCGTGTTGGTTTCAGTGGCATGATAACCAGGGGCTCTCCAGGCTGAGGTGGGGCGGGGTTCTCTCTGAGCTCCCATGCAGGGGGGAAGGGGACACGGAGCTGTCCACAGAACTTCATCGCACCTCATCGAAAGCCTTGTTCTTGCCTCGGCTGATTCCTTCATTGAGGGCTTTGATCCAGGATTCCTTCTCCTCCCCACTGGGTGCTTGGAATTTGATGTCGCTGACCTGCAGGGTGTACGGGTGGGGTAGATGTCGGGTGTTTAACTGGGATCACACTCGGGGTCTTCAGGAAGCTTCCCACCCCAGATCCCAAAGTTGGTCATGGAACAGCTGGCTAAGGAGCAAAGCACAGGACCCCCCCGACAGGTCTGACACTGGGACGTCAGGGGACGGGAGGGACAGACCCAGCAGGGAAGGGGCTCTCTCCCTGCATGCAGCTGCCAGAGACTGAGACTAGAATCAGCCTTGCTCTGTGGAAAGAGCTCAGATATGGCCTTGTTCCGTGTGACAGCCTGACCCAGACCAGCCGCCTGACCTCTGGGCTACAATTTTCTCCGGAGGAGTAGTCCTAGTCTCCTGGGACCAAGGTGACAGGCATGAGGTGTGTCTATCGGCGAAGGCCCACTGGAACCAGGACCACCATCAGCTCCCCAGTGGGCCCCACACCCAGCCTGGCCCCAAGTGAAAAAGTCCCAGGGTCTCCTTTCTGGCCTTGAATTGTAGACTATAAGAAAGGGTATTGAAAGCCCTGGCTGGCGTAGCTCAGTGGATTGAGCGCGGGCTGCAAACCAAAGTGTTGCAGGTTCGATTCCCCGCCAGGGTACATGCTTGGGTTGCAGACCATAACCCCCAGCAACCGCACATTGATGTTTCTCTCCCTCTCTCTCTCTCTCTCTCTCTCCCTCCCTTCCCTCTCTAAAAATAAATAAATAAAATCTTTTTTAAAAATTCAAACATTAAAAAAAAAGAAAAGAAAAGAAAGGGTATTGAAGGTCAATTCCAACTCCCTTACTACACAAATGAGGAAACCAAGGCTCACAAGATGGGATGAGATTTGGCCAACATGGCCTAAAGTAACCCTGAGGCTCCTGACCCCCCCACCCCATGCCACCCCACCTCAGGTCCCCTTCCTCCTTGGGCAGGAGTACTGAGCTCTTATGATAGAATCAGAGGGCAGCTCACAGAGCTCCCTCCCTACCAGACCCCCCCCCCCAAGGTGAGACAGGAAATGACGGAAGGATGAGGCCATGCAAATGAGAGGCGACTCTGCATGGTGGACATAGCAAGAGGGCCTCTAAGCTAGACAGACCACCACTTACAGCTGGCTGACTTTGAGCCTAAGTTTCCTCATCTGTAAAGGAGACTACCACCATGACCTGCCTCACGGAGCTTTCAAAGGTCACGACATATCTAAAGTGTTAAATCTGGACCCTGGCCGGGTGCTCAGTTGGTTGGAGCATTGTCCCAATAGGCCAAGGTTGTGGGTTCAATCCCTGGTCAGGGCACATATATTAATCAACCAATGAATGCATAAATAGATAGAACAAGAAATCACTCTCTCCTCACCCCCTTCATTTCTATCTCTAAAATCAATAAATCAATAAATAAGAATAAAAATAAAGTGTTAAATCTGGAGTTGAGCAGTGCTCAGCAGTAGAAATTATCACCGTGGTCTTCCTTCTGAACAGAACAGCCCCAGTTTCCTCACCCGAAAAAATGTCGAGGGAATCTGACCTGATGAAAGCCAGGGCTCAGTGCATAGGAGGTACTCAGTAAATAGTGACTGAATGAATGTGCCGACAAATGAATGAACTAGCCCATAGGTCCTTTCCGTGCCCTGTTTTTGGGCCGCTGCCCACTCTCTGACCTCAAGATGCCCTAGTTCTTTGTCTGGTATCGCCAGCCTGCCCATCCCCCGCCCCGGTGTTAGTGCCTTCCCTCCCGCCACGCTACTCTCCCAGTTATATAACACCGAAGTCCGCCTGGCCCCTCAGCATCCCAGTTATATAAGTTCCTCCTGGCTTCCTCCTGCTTCTCCTCACACAGGCCCCGGGTCCCACCCACCTCCCCAGGCCAGGCACAGCCAAGTGCTCATTTGCATGACCAGGGTAAATTCGATCCTGGCAGCAGATCTGCAGTTAAGTCGGAAACCCCAGGGCACCTTGGCAACTGCCCCTTAGCCCAGCCATCAGGGCTGCTGGGAGCTCAGGGAGGGACTGCATCGCATTCGGGCTCTGCGAGGGCCCACCCAACCCCATGACGGGGCTGTGAGGCGGTGGACCAGGGCCAGCTCCTCTGAGCCCAGCTGCTGCTCCTGCTCGCAGGCCTCGAGTTGGTGGGGCCCCTAACCAGTGCAGAACTTAACATGTGAGAGAGCTGGAGAGGCCTGTTCTTGAACTCAACAACAGATGCAGCAACAGTGGGGCAGGAAAAGGGCATTGGCCTGAGTCAAGGTCATTGAGTTCTAGTCTCATCTACCTGCAGTGGCAGGCGCCCTGCACACTCAGGGCTTCAATGGGACAAGTACAGCACCACTGGACCCAACCCACACTGCAGCCTTCCCCATAAGCCAGCCCACCTGCAGTGGGCCGGGGGTTGCGGGGCTAGGGTGTGGGCCAACGCTCTCCCCTAGGGGAGGGAACACAAGGTTAAATGGGACCCAGCCTCACCCTCAGGAACCTCGTGATCCTGGCTGAATGAGCCAGGCCTCCCACAAGGGTGAGCAGCACAGGGGTGAGAAGGACACCAGGAAGTTGCTCCTCCTGCCCCATCCCCACCCTCAGGTCCTGAAGAGCCACAGGCTACATAGGTCCCTGCCCTAGTCTTTCCAAGAAGGCCCAGGGGCAAAAAAAAAAAAAAAGGTCTGGCCACAGAATAGGCCAACACGGTCTGGGAAAGGGGAAAAGGGGGGAGTATAAAATGACAGAAGGGGGAAAAGTGGGAGGGGGAGAGGAGGCAGGGAAAAGGAAAGGGCCAAGCTGGCTGAGACCAGCAGGGCAGCCAGGCCCAGCAGAGGCCACCCTGCTTCCTGGCAGCGTCTGCCTGTGACCTCATGGCAGGGGCGTGGGGATGGGGAGGCAGGGGGAAGAGGAGCATGCAAGACACTGGAGTCTTTGTTTATTTGATTAGAAGGAAAAATCAGGCCGCCTCGGGACCAGACAGCCAGGGTCATGTGACCTCCCAGCCAGCGGGCAGCCTCAGTGAGGATGGGGAACACCCAGGGTGAGAGAAAAGGAGGGTGAGAGGACAAGGGGGATGCAGTGCTCTGGGCAGTCCCCCGTGTGCCCTCTGGAGAACTCCCACGCTCTCTGTGGGGTCCTGGGGTGGCGAGGGTCAGGGGGCCCTTGAGCTGGAATCAGGGTGCACTGTCCTCCCGATGTTTTGCAGCCCCCACCAGTTGCTCCATAGCCCACTGCCGGACTGATCACACTGTCCTCAGAGTCACCCAGAGCCAACCCGAGCCCTGAAGAATTGGGGAGCGGAAGGGAGGGTGCTGGTTGAAGCAGGTAGGAATGCAGCTGCACAAACAGGCCTCTCTGAAGGCGATGCGCACCCTGCAGTGGGCCTGACCCACCCACCCCGCCACAAGCTGATTTCAGAGCAGGAGAAAGGAGGCGGGCCACAGGACAGCACTGGCAGAGGACAGAACACGGCCCCCTCCGCTCTACACCCACACAAGCTCACTAAGGGACACACAAAGACCCACACAGAGTGTGGCCAGGTGAACACACACCCGCCGAACACACAGGTGCACACCTTCACCCATAATGAACTCCGGTCTCTCAAACACACGTATACAAATATAGCGCCCACTAGAGAGAAAGCAGGCCCAGAGCAGGGTAGGGGCCCCAGGTGTGACTAAAATAGGGCTCTCCTCTTCTTCAAAGAGCCCTAAGCAGCAGAGGTCAAGTGAAACCTGGGCCCAGCCCCATGACTCCTCATGACACTATAAACCTGCCCGCGCCCGGGGCTCACCCCCAGTCCCGGGGTCAGAGACCCGAAGCTGCTTCTTTACCCCAACCCAGGGCAGAGCGGGACAAAGGGTCAGTGACAAAACAGCATGCTCTGGACCAGGCCTCTGGCCCTGAGGGCTGGGGAAGAAACAGAATGGCCTCCAGCAGGCCCAGACCAGGCCAGCTCCCCAACCCCCAGCCTCCGTGACTCAGCCCCACTCTGGGAGGCTCCACATGATGTGCAGAGGTCGGGAGAGGCGTGACCTAGCTGCAGATGGGTTAGAGCTGGCGAGAGGTGCCTCAAATCCGACTCCCTCCTGACATCTGTGAAACTACACCATGTGTCAACACTCACCCGGACTCCCTGCCAGAGACATGTGGTACAGACGGCAAACTTCATCTGCACACACAGCGTGTCCCAGGGAAGAACTGCTCAGGCAAGAGGCTTTCTCCGGAGTTAGCCAAGAAAGGAAAGTGCGAGGGGAGGAAAGCTTCAAGGCTGCATGTCTCTTGGCAGAGTCCAGGACAGAGGGCCCACCCAGGAAAGCCTGGGGTAACAGGAGGCCACACCTTCCCCTCAGGCCCAGGCTGCGTGCCTCTCGGTGTCAGAGTCCTGGTGGGATGAAAGCCTCATCCCTAGCTTTCCTGCCTCAGCCCCGGCCTCCTGTGTCTAGGGTGTGGAAAAGGGCCAAGGGACCCACCTCCTAAAACGAGAGAGGCTAACAGAGCTCTCAGCAGAGCCCTGAGTGCATCTCCTATCAACCAGGGGCTGGGAAGACTCCAAAACAAAATGAGTGAAAGATCCAACTTGTGAGGGCCCCAGATCTGAGCCTCAGGCACGTTCCCGAGAACGTGCGGGCTGCACCCAGGGGCCCAGCCCAGCCTGTCTTGCAGAGCCTCCAGGGATGATCTTCCCAAGCGGACCCCAGCCTGGAGGAAGGTCAGGCCACAGCAGGCGCAGCCCTACCTTGTTCCCTGGGGAGCGCAGCAGGATGAATCGGTGTTTCCGCTTGAGGAGGGCACGAAGGTCCTGGCACTTCTCATAGCTGCCCAGCTCCACTGTCTCCACACACTTCTGCTCGTCCTGGGGAGGGACATGAAATGTGAGAGCTGGACACCCGGCCTCTCAAACAGCCAGGCCCCACCCCAGACCCTGGTCTCACTCGGTGAGGGCGTCACTGGACCTCGGGCTACCAGTCAATCACCAAGATGAGGCACTCAGACCCCGGCAGTCTGTGCAGCAGGAGGGACACCCTCAAGGCTCATGTGCGTGTGAGATGCAGGGCTCAGCCGGAGGTGGGGAGCAGGCCTGACTGAAATGTGCCCAAGGCCGCAGGAGGAAACAGAGGAGGCTTGGAAAAGGGTGCCTGGGGGGCTCCCGCAGGCCCAGAGACCAGGCAGAGATGTGGGGAAAAGGTAGCCTGGAAGAGGGAGCAAGTCATCACAAAACAAGGAAAAAAAGGAAACGGCTTTCCGGGCAGAGCCACAGAGGGAAGTGTGAACAGGGCGCACTTGGCCTGCCTTCACCGCAGCGACTCTGAGCTGACTCTCCGCCGGCACGTGTCTCCACCGACCCCTGGCTTGGGGAGGGAGGCCCTCTCCACGGCCTGCACCACAAGAGTGCCAGGGCTCCTTTAAGGGCACGCACTCCCAGGGTGTCATCCCGAGGCCGCATCCGTGGAAGGGCCAGCGGCCAGGACAGTGGTCAGCCTCTTCTAGGCCACCCCTGGACACTAGCTAGACTCCCTTCCTGCCTGCCAGCCCTGGCACCTGAGTGTTTCCTCCACCAGATGCCTCTCCAGCAAGCGGCCTGGGACAAGCTCCTCCCTCAGTGGCGATCAGTGGGTTCCTCTTCCAGGAACACAGAGTTGGAACAACTTCCTGGATGTGGCACATCTCACCCTGGAGACTCCAGGGAAACAGAAGCAGGCCCTGGGTTGGCGGTGGTGGGGGGGGGGGGCGGCGGGGGGACGGGACTGCCCTGGAAACTGGCCAACAGGTGAAGGAAGCTCGTACTGTGGAACATCGCACAGAGAGCCAGCCAGGGCACCCACCCAGGGACCCCCTTCCGTGCTCTGCGGTTTTGGGTGGAATATCTGGGGTTCAGTGACTCAAATATTCACAGAAGAAATGCCCCAATTTCCCTGCAGGAATCTGCACGTACACTTGGCCCTCTCTATCCGTGGGTTCCACATCTAGCTTCAACCAACCTCCAACCAAAATTACAAAAATGTTACACTGTTGCTGACATGTACTCTGTAGTTTGGTTTACTGTGGTTGCTTCTTTACTGAACATGTACAAACATTTTTCTTGCCATTATTTCCTAAATAACTATTTATATAGCATTTATATTGTGTTAGGCATCGTAAGTAAGCTAGAGAGCATCTGAAGTATATGAGAGGATGTGTGTAGGTTATATGCAGACGGTGTGCCACTTTACATAAGGGCCTTGAGCATCCATGGATTTGGAAATCCACAGGGGTCCTGGAACTGATCCGCAGTGGATACCAAGAGACAACTGTGCTACTTTCACAGACAACTGTGAAAACCCTGACACTTAGCATTTTTGCATCCCTGATTCTGCTGAGCTTCTCAATCGCCCTAAAAGCCTAGAGTTCTAGTATTTGCTTCATTTTATACAGGAAGAGAATGAGGCTTGGAGGTGAACTGTTTTGCCTTAGAGGCACGGACCCAAACATAAGGGGCAGGGCCAAACCCAAGCCCACATCATCTGAGTCCCAGGACAGAGCTCTTCCCAGCACAGCGGGCTCCTCCCAGCCAGGGGCAGAGGCCGGGCCAGCGCCTTCGCAACGGGTTGCTCCACACCGGGGATCCTCCAAGTGTGGAACCTGGTCCAGCAACAGCAACGTAACCTGAGAACTTATTAGAAATGCAAGTTCTCAGGCTCCATTCCTACTGAATCATAATCTTAGGGGAATGGGCCTGGAAATCTGAGTTTTAACAGCCCTCCCGCTAATTCTGATGTATACAAAACTCTCAGTCTTGGTGGCACTGGGACCTTTAAAAATCCCAATGCCCAGGCAACACCTCAGACCAATCACATCGGGGTCCCTGGGGGGTGGAGCCCAGACATCAAAGGATTTTCAAAGCAGGGGACTGTGCAGCTGCGGTCGACAGCCACAGGCTGACCACCGGTTTCTAGCCCCTCAGGGAAAGGGGAACGGATGGCCAGGGCAGCCTGATCTCCCCGCCCAGATTCAATCAGGTGTCTTGCCCATGTGTGCCTCTACACATCTTTCTAACTCCTGGTCCCCAAAGCTCCCACGTTTCCCCACTCTACGCGAGGGACAGTGTAGTCCACCTGGCCCAGGAAGCTCCACTGCTCACCCCAGGAGCCCGAGCCAGGTGCTCCCTCCCTCCCTCCTTTGAGATCCCCCATCCACGGTGCACCTGCCAGGTACAGGCACCAGAAGAGGTGCTAGGGTCGTGCTGCCGAGGGGAAGAACAGCCCTAACCCCCTGCTGGGCCATCTCTCTCCACCCTGTGCTGCACGTCTTCTTGTCTTCCTGTCCCCCACAGCGCCCTGCAAAGGGGCAGCCCACTAGAGCAGCATGTGCAGAGCCAGTTTGTGGGACTAAATGCCTGACACAGAGTGAGACCCCGGGAAGTCCCCACCTACTGGGTACCCAGAGGAAGGGAGCTGCCTGGAAAGGACCCCCAGTTGCAGAGAGCTCAGCTCACCTGCCCCGTGTGCACATACTTCCCCCAATTGGACAACTACCCACCCAAACAAAAAGTCGGTCCCTCTCCACCACCCAGCTCCCCACAGGCTGCCTGACCTGGGTCTCCTCTCCACCCAAAACGCTGAATCATCTGGCCCTTCTGCAGCTCAGAGAATCGGATAACCCAGCAGGCGCTGGGCGGGGGCAGCATTTTTGGAATGTCAACCTCAATGACAGCAAAGAAACAGCCAAGAACCATTCCCACTAGCCTAGTTCCTCACATCAAGAAAGAGGAATTGAACTAATAAGCATTTCTCAATTCCTACTCCTGGGCCAAACTCCCATCTCTGAGGGCTAAGTTCTTGAAGCTGCATTGAGGTTGTTCATAGTGGAGTTTTTTGTCATTTTCTTTAAGCGTGATTTAGACGTTTCATGTTCAGGGGATGTGAAATCCTTTTTCCTCCCCGGCTGTGGCCAGATGTGGAGAGAGCCCAGGACAAGTCTGGCAACGCCTGACAGGCTGACAGCTGGGGAACCTGTCACTCAGCTCTCAGGCAGCTAGGACTGGAGGATGTTCCGACAACACCCTTTATTTATAACCACCCCCAGCAGACGCCACAGCACACCCTCACTTGGGGAGAGCAGTGGTGTGGAACCCCCAGGGGACTGTCTGCACAATTCATCCAGCTGCTTCTGACACCCCAGCTCCATGAGCCTGGGCCTTGCTCAGGCAGCAAAGGCAAAGCGCTTCTCAAGGGTAGCTCCTTTAGTCACAGAGATCTGGATGCTCCATCCCTCTTGGCCCGGGACAGTCATGAACTTGCCAAGATACCCTGAGGCACGCTGAGAGAGGCTGATGAGCAACGGGCAGGATGCCCTCCCTGCCGCCGGGCCAGTTCTTCCCCATGCACTCCATCTGTCGAAGGCGCACAGCGAGAGCCCATCTTCAGCGGACGGGCCCTCTGACAGCCTCCACCCCGGAACACGGACATCGTTTACGAGTAAAAGCCACCGTTCCTCCTCGGTCTTCACCCGGGGCTTTGTTAACTCCCAGCACACAACTTCAGCACCTTCGTGGTCCAAGCTCCACGTGTGCTCCGATGAGAAGGGACACAAGCCTGACGTGGGAAGGTGTGAGCACTGTGAGAGGACAAGGACAGAGGAAGTGGCAACTGGTCGCTTGATGTTAAAGGAGAAAGAAGGGACCAAAGTACAGTCTGATTATAAGGGACTCTGAGCCATCAAGGAACGACTCAGTTTAAGCTGGTGCCTTCTTCTGAAGGCAGCGAATATTCAATACATTTCAGAGGACGTCCACCAAAATGAGATGTGGCGTTTACTTGCTGGCATCAGCGGGGGGAAAGAGCACTGCGTTTGCTTCTAGACCTGGCTCCTTCCTTCACTGAGGTGCCCAACAGCCACCTGGCCATCCTCAGCCTCAGGGTCCATCTCCGTAGAATGGGACATGACAACCACCTGCATGGGACTGTCGTGAGCTTCATACGAGAGCTCAGTAATACATACACACCAGCAGTACTATTTTTACTATCATTGATAAATGGAGGAAGCTTCACTTTTCAGGAATATTTACACACGTGGAACCTAGTCCAGGGCCAGGGACTTGCAGTGTAGAGTTGAGAAGACTCACACCCTTATGTGCATACACTTCAAAGGGCCCCTCGTCCAGGAGCCCTAGACCAGCACCTACAGGCAGCGGCCCAAGCCACAGAGACCCAGGGAAGGGCAGGTGCTCCCCCAAGGTTGCACAGCATAGCAAATATGGACCGAATCTTCCCACCCCCACATGGGGCCTCCCCCGCTGGAGTGGGCTGCCCTGGCTCTGCCCCCTGCCCCAGCACATCCAGCCTCAGAGCCAGGCAGGGCCTCACCTCGTTCTCGTAGACCAGCAGCTGGGCCTGGCAGAGGAGCAGATAGCGGTCTTTCCAGAGCCCCAGGAGGCCCCCGCTGCTCTTCTTGATCCAGCCAGCCTTGTCCGCCGTCCGCGCTCCCCGAGGCTTCTCGCCCCCCACCTTCACACCCTGTGAGACAGCACGAGAACACGCCATGAGGGTTGCCACCGTGGGAACACACAGTCCACAGGCCACACTGGGGACATGTCCCTCTAACAGGTACCTACTGATACCTTCTTCCCACGTGAGCATCCCCACAACCCCCGAGGCAAATATTCTCAACCCAGAATGAGAAATATAGTAACAACAGCAGTAACAACATTAACAGCAACCACCTTGTATCAAGCCGCCATGTTACACTTTCACACACTGTCTCATTTAGCCCACACAATGACCCTCCAAGACAGTGGCATCATTACCTACATGTCACAGCAAACTCAGAGACAGGTAACTTGCCAGAGTCACACAGCTGGAAAGACAGAGCCAGAATTCGAGCTGGGACTCCGGCTCTGCGTTCTTCCCGCTCCCCTGAGCTGCCTCCCATGTGCTCACTTGGCCGGCCAACACATTCTGTACACGGCCCCTGCAATGTCACGGGTGCTGGGGGACGCAGGAAGAAATAAAAACAGTGGGTCTCTGCCCTCAGAGAGCTGGCAGTTTGGGGAAGGAGAAGATGGACAAATGAACATGAGACACAAACTCATTAAGAGCCGTGAAATGCTACCAAGGAAATAGTGAAGGGGTTGGGGAGGGTGCAGTGAGAGAGGACAGTGCAGGACCTGGTTCAGGTAAGATGGCCCAGGAAGGCCTCCCAGGGGAGAGGACACTTAAGCAGAATCAGAAGGATGAGAAGAGAAGCAGGCAGAGTAGTAATCTGCCTCTCTGTCCCTGCCCTTCTAAAGAATACCCTCTGGCCCTGGCTGGGTGGCTCAGATGGTTGGGGCATCATCCTGTACTCCCCAGTGGGGCACGGGCAGGGAGCAACTGATCAATATTTTGGTCGGTGCTAATCTCTCATATTGAAGTCTCTCTCTCTCTCTCAAAAATCAATTTAAAAAAATATATTGGCCCTGGCTGGCATAGCTCAGTGGATTGAGGGTGGGCTGCGAACCAAAGTGTCGCAGGTTCGATTCCCAGTCAGGGTACATGCCTGGGTTGCAGGCCATGACCCCCAGCAACTGCACATTGATGTTTCTCTCTCTCTCTCTATCTCCCTCCATTCCCTCCCTAAAAATAAATAAATAAAGTCTTTAAAATATATATATATATATATCTTTGGGTAAGGATTAAAAAAGAAACAAAGAAACAAAGCCCTGGTTGGTGTTGCTCAGTGGTTTGAGTGCCAGCCTGCAAACCAAAAGGTCGCTGGTTCGATTCCCAGCCAGGGCACATGCCTGGGATGCAGGCCAGGTCCCCAGCTGGTGGCATGCAAGAGGCAACCAACTGATGTATCTCTTGCACATCAATGTTTCTCTCCCTCTCTTTTTCGCTCCCTTCCCCTCTCTAAACATAAATAAATAAAATCTTAAAACATACACACAGAGCCCCTATGAAGCCCCTGCTTCTGCCCCCAGAGGCTCCTCTGCCCTCCTCCCAACCCCCAGCCCAGGACTTTGGGGCAGCCGCCCCACCTGAGGGCTCCGAGGACTCTGCCTTCAACCAGAGTCCTTCTCTAAGACATGGCAGCCACCCTGGGCCCCTAGGCCAGCCACTGACATCTCATGCACATTGACTACCTGCTTGGGTGGCTGGGTGCCATGTGTATGCCTACTGGATGGGGTCAGAGTCGCCTCTGGTCCCTAGCACCCGGCACTGTTTCACTGCACATAATGGGTGCTCAAGAAATATCTGAAATGAAAATAAAGATGCACCCAATCTGCTAACCACTTTGCTTCAGTGACTGGTACCCACAGCAGTAAGTGTGAAGTGGAAGGTGGAGCAGACGAGATCAAGAGCATGTCAGAATCTAGAGGACACAAGAAGGAAATTAGCACTAATTTTGACTACTTTATAATTTACATAAAGCTCAAAAAAGTAGCCCCAGTTAAACAACACATAGCTCTCCCCAGGGGATGCCCTGTGGCCACAGCTGCCTTTGGAAGGACAAGCCCAGGCAGATGGAGGTGTGGTGCGTTGTCAGGGGCTGGTCCGGCACAGCCTCCCTGCCTTCCGTCCAGGTTCTCACCGCGCTCCCCACCCCTCTGAACCACACACCCTGGCAGCCGGGAATCTGAGCTTTGAAGCCCAAGCCACACAGACCAGAGGCAGGTCACCTGATCCCTCTAAGCCTCAGTTTCTTCGTCAGTGACACGAGGGCAGGGCTTTGTGTTTTGTTTGCTGCTACAGCCTCAGTGCCCAGACAATGTCTGGTACACGGCAGGTGCTCAATAAATGTCTGTTGCTGAATAAAGACATGGCGTACAACGCGGTGCCTGGGACACCCTCAAGTTAGTATGTGGAGCTGTTATTATTGTCATTGTCATCACTGCCATTCCCTCTGACTCTCAGGGACCCTCCCGCCCTGGGCCTGGTTCAGAATTGAGAACAAGGCCCTTTCTGGACTTAGCTGCTGGGCATCAACACCCCAGGAGGTCCTTGGAATGTGAGGTACCCCTCAAGGTCTCTCCCTAGATGACAAGAAAAATGGGGAAGTGAGATGGTCCCAAATGGTCTTCCCAGATGGCAGAACAAGGAAGTGGAAGGCTCTCCTGCAGGCTAGCATGAGCCACCCTGACCAGGAGAAGAGGGAGGCTCTCACGTCCTGTCATCTACCCACCTCCCCTTCCCATGCCACCAGAGACCCTGTGTCCGGCCCTGTGGGCTGTGTGACCCACAGGGGCTTCATCCTCCCAGGGCTGGAAGGGATGAGGTGGGAAACGGAAAGCCCCGCCCCCACATGGCACACATCACACCCTACTGTACTGTTGGCTGCGTCCTACGTCTGAAGTCCATAGGTCTGTCTCAAATTAGGCAGCAGGGACGCTGCTGCCTGGGTGTCCCACCTCTGAGCTCCAAGCTCCCCTCCTGCTTTTGAGGGGCCCACCCATTACCCCATGGATCTCACACCCCTTTCTAGACCCTCTCTGCTCGTGACCTCCCCTGCCTGGCTCACCCACTGGACATGTGAAAACTTCCTGCCAGCTGGAAGCTCCCAGGTTGCAGAGCTGGAAACTTGTGCCTTGACCACTGTCCTCTCTGGGTGTAGTAGAGTGGTGCCCAGTGAAAACCATGGCTGGATTAGCTAGAGCCGCCAGCCCCAGGCCCTAGGGATGGGTGGGGCCAGGATGGGGCTGAGGAGAGAAGGTACTTTGGGATGGGGCGGTGACAAGTGCGGGCCAGAGGCAGGAACCAAGGCCCAGGGAAGGGTCTCCTTATCAGGAGTCAGCCACAGAAACAGCCACCTGAAGGGTGACCTGGCTGGAGGTCCTGCTGGCCAACGCCCTTCACCCAGCTCCTCTCCCTGCCCCTCACACTGTCTCCCACCAGGGGGCCTGGCTGTGCCCCAGTAAGTTTTAATAAGTGGCCCCTCCCCTTGGCAGGGCTCACAGGGGAGATTTTGTCCTGTTCGGCTTACTTTGTCCGCCTCCTCTCTTCTTGTTGACCAGCTGACCACTGTTCTTCCTGTTTTGCCCTCTCCTCTCCCATCCATCCCCGCTCAGGCCCTCCTCTGCCCACTGTGGGCAGCTTCTGAGGCACCCCAGACACAAGCCTGGCTCTCCCTTGGCCTGAGGTGAGAAGGTCTCTGGGTCATTTATTTAAAAGAAAAAGAAAAAAAGAGGACAGTCACCCTGCCCCGGGGATGGAAGGCAGTAAGTGGGCGGAAAGCCACACACAGGCCACAGCAGAGAGACAGAGGGCAGCCGAAGAAAACCTGTTGGCACCTCACATCGCAGAGAGCTTGTGATGGCGAGCTGTGCCCTGCGGCTACACCCAGCCATGCTCTGACCAGACTCTGCCAGTAGCCCACCACGTCAGGGCCCTGTGATGGGGCAATCAGGGAGGAAGCATGGGCTCTGCCCTAGGGGAACTTCCAGTCTGCTGGGGGGCAACACGGGGCCCGCTGCGAGGGACAGAGCGCCTGCCCGGAGGGATGCCTGGCCCTAGCTCTCTAGTGGGATAAGTAAGGGCCTGGGGTTAGTTCGGGAAGCCCTTGCAGAAGGCAGGGTTTTGGTAGGACTACGAAGAGGGAAGGAGACATACACCTTGGCCCCAAGAGAAGGAAAGACACAAAGGCTATCAAAGATCCTACACTTTCAACTCCTTCGCTCTAGAATGAGAAAGTACAGCCCAGAAAGGCCGAGATTAACTGAAGATAGCAAAGCCAGTCCTGGGCCTGGACACTGCCCGCTGCCTCTCTCTAGATGGGAAAGGGTGACTGAGCAGCCTGGAGCCACTGGAGGCCAGACCAGGAGCACACATGACTAAGAGGATAGGGGTCGGACCTCAGGGCAGAGACAGGAGAGCCTGAGTCCAGGGTTTTCAACCGGACTCCGGGGTCAAGAATGCCTCACACTGATCTTTGCTGTTCCCTCTGCACATATGATGGCATTTCTGGACCGCCCACCCCCCTCACGTTATAGATGGGGAAACGAGGCCTTGAGAACACAGACAGATGCCCAGTGCCCAGGCCTGCACTTCTTCCCCAAGCCTCAGCCTGACAGGGTCTACCAACCCACTGCACAGAGGAGGCCACTGAGGCTGAGGGGTCCTGGCACCAGAGTGGCTGGGGCTTGGGGAGGAAGCCCAAAGCTGCGGGGAGGGCTGGAAGCCATATGGGAGTGAGATGATGAGGCCAGCCCAGGGCCATGAGGGAAAGCAGGTGGCTGTGATCTAAGGGGGTTTTAGAGAAACAAAGATGAGATGCTGAGACCTAAAGACACAAGGGGGCCCTGGCTGGTGTGGATTGAGTGCTGGTCTGCAAAGCAAAGGGTCGCCAGTTCAATTCCCAATCAGGGCACAGGCCTGGGTTGCAGGTCGCCAGTTGTGGGGCGTGTGAGAGACAACCACACATTGATGTTTCTCTTCCTCTCTTTCTCCCTTCCTCCTCCTCTCTCTAGAAATAAATAAATAAAATCTTTAAAAAAGAAAGAAAGAAACAAGGGGGAGTGAGTAGGAGAAGAAATGGGAGGAAAAGAGTTTGGGGTGCCAAAGCAGGGATGTAGGGACTAGGGAGTCCCTGGCGGGGTGGGGAGGGGGTGAGCAAGCCCTTAGATAACCCAGCTGTGCGGGAGTTTATGGTGCAGACAGTAAATGGCAACGTTAGAAACTCAGAACCAGAGGGAGTGCAGGGCTGGGCGGGCCAAGAGACATGCTATGGGCCCAGGAGAACTTCCCTTATTGGGGCCAGAGCAGATCAGAAGATGGAGTAATCCTGTCCCACATCCCCTGGGAGAAGGGGAGAGGGCACATCCAGACAGCCCAGCCCTCCTAATAGGGGCCTGGGGCAGGGGAGGGTAGCCCCACCTCTGTCAGCAAGAAACCAAAGCAAATTATAGTGGACTGACTTTGCCCCTTACTTCCACCCACTCGGAGAGAAGGGGCCAGAAGTACACTGTCAGGAGGACCTCGGGAGGAGGCCCTCAGGCTCTGTATGTCATAGAAGAGGAAACACAAGCTGAGAGGGGAAGTGACTTATCTACCATCCCACAGAAAGGCAGGGCCTGGCCTGGAGGGAACCCTGACACCCTAGCTGCCCCTGAGCCGTGGCCCCAGGAAGTAGGGAAATGGGCACCGAAGGGGACACAGGAAGCCCCGGGTGGCCAGGGCTGCCCCAAGAGTGAAGGCTTCATCTCTCTTCCCCATCCACACAGGCACAGACATGTATATATACCCTTCCCCTTGTCTGGGAGGGACAGAAGCTGACAACCCCTCGGAGGACAAGAAGCAAAGTCCTCTAGACTCAGCAGGCCCCTCCTCTAATTTATTCATTCCACAGGCAAACATTAAGTGCTTGCATTGTGCTTGGATGATGGGGCTACTGGGAAAACTGAGTTTGCAAATAAAAGGCAAGAGTCACAGAGTGCCTGACCCCACCCCAGACCAAGAGGGTCCTGAGGGGGAAGAAAGAGGCTCAAAGAGGCACTGCTGGTCCAGCTGCCCAGCTCCTTCCCCATGGTAGCCCTCCCAGGGGTGCGGGTGGAAGGCAAGGGCTAGGATCAGCTTCCACTAGGCCAGCTCTATGGTAGACCGGGGGTAGGATACAGGAGACTCACAGGGTTCATACAGGGGAGAAAAAAGCAAATCTCCTGTCCTCTGGCCACCAGATCGGGCCTCCAGATTCCTTCAGAAAGGTACTCCAGGACCCAAAGACCGCCTCCTCCCCATCATCACCGCACACACACCCGACACAATACAGTCTGTCCCCTCAAAATCCAACCTGGGTGGCAAGGAGAGTCAGCGGTAACCAGGGTTTGAGCCCAGCACCCTAGGCCACTTTCAGTAGAGCCTCAGTCTCCCCGTCAGTCCAATGGGAACAATAACATGCCCAAAGTTGGTGAGAGAAGCCAAAAGAGATTATGAAGGAGGATGAGTCGCAAAAGAGTACTGGACGCGATCCCTACCCCCACCCCTGCCTACCCTGCCTAGTCTCTGCCTCGGTGGGGGGTGGAGGGTTGGGGGAGGTGTGCTGGTGTCCCGAGACCCTCGAGAGAGGGGCTGGCTGGAACAAGGGCCTGAGCCCTGGACCCCAACGGCGGTAGGCGGCTCCAAGACCCCCGCCCAGGCCCCCCCGCTTGGCCGACCCTCACCTCCTCCTCCATGGCGAGTCCGCTGAGGTCCAGCCGATCGGCCGCTCCGCCGCTCACTCCCAGCGCCCCGCGGGCTCCGCCAGCTCCATCCACGCCCGCCGGGCGGCGGCTCTCAGCGTTCTGTCCCGCGGGCCGCCGGGGGCCGAAGAAACTTCGGGGGGGCGGGGCCAGGGGCGGGGAGAGGCTTCCGGGGGCCTAGGGGCGGGGCCTGAGGAGGGAATAGCGGGGCCCGGAGGCCGGGGTTGGGACTGGAAGCCGGGCCGGGGGGGCGGGGGGGGCAGGTAGGGGCGGGGGCGGGGTCGAGGCTAGTGGAGGAGCTGGGCGGGGCCCGGAGGGGGTCTGGGGACTGGGAACCCGAGCTGGAGGAAGAGGGAGGGACAGCGCGGACAGAGGTTTCCCCGACCCGCAGAGGGAGAGGGACGGGGAGGGCAGACGGGGTGTGGGGGATCCGGGGGGGAGCAGGGGAGGGGGTTTCCGGCCAGAGGCGGAGGAGAGGGTAGCGGGCGGGGCCCAGGGCGGGGTCGGGTGGGGCAGGAGCTAACTCCCGGAGCGCTGGCGGTTTCTGCCTTTGAGGTCTCCTGACCCGAGTGTCCTGGGGTTGCCAGACCGGACCAAGCCGATCTGAGCGGCCCAGAGATGAGGCCACAGAGAGGCCCCTCTTATTTCCTCCCCGACCCCAGGGCAGTGGCGACGACCTGGTTCTCTTCTCCCTGGAACCTCCTGGCAGGGCCGGGCCTGGAACTTGAGTCCCATCCGAAGAGTAATATAACCGGAAGACCTGGCGCTGAAGAGCTGGGCTCCAGAGTCCCTCTGGGGGAGGGATTTTCTCCTGGCTCTCAGGGTTCCCCAAACGCAGTGTCCTCCAACCTTCGTTGGGCATTGCTGAGAACTGTACCCCTCTCTGAATCCAATATCTGAGGGCCACCCCCATCCAGTGGTAATCTGACAGCCTTGACAGCCTTGATAGGGAGTGAAACGTAGGGACCAGCAGGGAATTGTGTTAATTATACCTTGCACCCTTATTTTACATTTAGAGAAACAGAGAAAGAAAGTGACTGGTGGCTCCATCCCATTCTCCAACACCGTCTCCCCCCACCCCCACCTCTTTCCCCTTAGCTCTCAGGTCAACCCTACCCCCACCCACCCACCCCCATCCCCACCCCCCACCCCGTGTCTCAGCAGGAAGAGTTAAGAGCCTGCGGAATCAATGATGATCTCCTTCGGCTCTGGCTGTCATAGCAGCAGCCGTACTAGTTGATTGAGCTCGCCTTTCATTACAGTCTGATGACTCTCAGGCTCCCAACCATTTACAGCCCTACTTGGAAAAGAGCAGCCTGGGGACGCAGGACCGAGGGGGAAAAGATAGGAGCACACTTTCCCCTCAAGCCTGGGCCTGGGCTTCTTTATCTAAAAGGATGGAGAATCCTAGCTGGTGTGGCTCAATGGATTGAGTACTGGCCTGCCATCCGAAGGGTTGCTCGTTCCATTCCCCATCAGCGTATATACCTGGGTTGTAGTCCAGGTCCCGATTGGGGGCGTGCAAGAGGCAACCCCATGTCGATGTTTTTCTCACTCTTTCTCCCTCTTTTCCCCTCTCTCTAGAAATAAAAAAAAAAAAATCTTTAAAAAAAAATAAAATAAAGGGCCAGTCAGGGCACATGCCTGGGTTGCAGGCCACCGCCCCCAGCAACCGCACATTGATGTTTCTCTCTCTCTTTCTCCCTCCCTTCCCTCTCTAAAAATAAAATAAATAAAATCTTTAAAAAATAAATGAAATAAAATAAAGGGATAATGAAAATACAGCCTAGAGAGCTGAGAAAAGCAGTATATGTGGCAAGCTGTGGCAGCCGCCACATGGTTTTATTCCCTCAGTCTGCAGAGCTGCGCAGCTGTTGTGCCCCATACCTGAGGACTCAGAAGACCCTATATCTGAAAAATCAGAGTCCCCCTGTAGGAGAGCAAATACCCTGGAGAGTTCGTGTCGTTGCACAGAAGCAGCTCAAGGCAGGGGTGGAGATGAGGTGGGTTTTGCTATCCAGCCAGCTCTGCCACCTCAAAGAATGAGCCACTGATAACCACTTTGGCCTCAGTTCCCCCATCCAGCCCAGGCTGGCCCTCTGGTTGTTGCCTCCAGACCATGCATTCATACAACACAAATATTTTGTTTGCTTTGCGTGCTTGTCGGGCCCGCACTAATAGCTGGGAGATAATGGCAGGACCCAGGTCCCTGTCCTCCCTCAGGAGAGAAAGGCATGTAAACAGATAAGAAAATGTATGTGTTAAATGTGAGGGTAAATGAGGAGAGGAAGGACACCAAAATCAGGACAAAGGGGCAGGACAGCTATTCTGGGCAGAGGGGACAGTGTGCATCATCGAGGTTTACCACAGTGTGGGGGAGGGGTATGTGTGTAGGGAGGCCAGGCTGGAGAAGTAGACAAAGCTCAAGGGTAAGGGGAAGTCATAGGAAGTTTTGGGCTGTGAAAGTGAAGAAGTCTGTTTTGCATGTGCACCATATATAATCAACAAAGTTTACTGAGTGCTCTAAGTGGGGTGTTTTCCAGTCCTTGCTGGCATTTATCTATTCACTGAAAAGAATTTAGGGACCTTCTCTTACCTGTTCACTATTCTAAACTCTTCACATGTGTCTCATTTAATCTTCACACAAGTAGGTACCCATCCATGAAATAAACAGTTAACCTCATTTTACAGACCAAGAATCCAAGGTTGGACCTGTTTAAGGTCACTTGACTGAGGATTGAAACCTCACTTGACTGCAAAGTCTGTGCTTTCTACTAAGTAACCTGTTATGGCAGCATCATGTGACCAGGCCAGACAGGACCTAGGCCCTGTCTTGGAGAGCTGACGAGCCAGTAGGAGAGTCCTGAGAAGGGCTCTGATGAAGGAGATCACCGTGTGTGGTGAGAGCTGGTTCCCAGAGGGAGGGGCTAGAGTGACTTGTATTCTAGTGGGGTATTGGAGGGAGGGAGAGGGAACAGAAAGAGTTCAGGAAAAGGGAACATCTCACAAAAATGAGAACTTGTAAAACATCTCAACTTGTTAGGGGAAGTGTAGGCAGATTTGTGTGGTCATGCATGTGGTGGCAGTGGAGAGTTTGGAAAGATGCCATCCTGGAGGCAGCAGGAGCTAGAACACTTAGGACTTTCAGTGCTGCCCAAAGGGATTTGAGATTCCTCCTGCAAGTAGCAGGGGGCCACCACAGCATGGAAGCAGGGCATGACACTACTTTCCTGACTTCTGTGTGAACAATGGTAACAGGGCAAGACAGAGAGGCCCATCAGGTAGGAGATAGTTACAGAAATCCAGGTTGGAAATGACGAAGCCTGAACCAGGCCAGTGGTTATGAGGATGGGAGGAACAGATTCAAGAGATAGTAAAGAGATAGAGGGATCAGGACCTACAAAGAATGGCTTCATTACTCATTGATTTGCCCATTCAATAAATGTCTGTTGAGAGCCTGCCATGTCTCAGGCACTGTTCTCAACACAGAGCACAAAGCCATAAACCTGACAGGCAGTATCTCGGCGCTCCTGAAGCTGGGAGAGATAATAGGCAAATAAACAAATACATGTAACAACAGAATGTGGTAAGTTCTCTGAGGGAAATAAGCCGGGTAATAAAACAGTAACTGGGGAGCCCATTTTAGCTATAACGTGTATGACAGGGCAGGGAGCCTTTCTGCAGAGTGGATATTTCAGCCGATACCTAAAGATGAGAGAGGTAGGGTGAATGGGGGAGCTATTTCATGCAGAGGAGAGAGCAAGTGCAAAACCCTGGCATAGGAAAGGGCTTTGGTGTTCAAGGAACATCAAGGAGGCTGATGTGACCCGGGCATGGTAAGGGAGAAAGTGGTAAACTTTCTCATGGTGAGAGGAAGAGAGGGAGTCGGCCCCAGGCCATTTGTAAGGACTGTGGATTCTATTCTAAGAGGAATAGACAAGGGAAGCATAGAGGGCTTTTAACTGGGGCAACAGTAAAATGATTTACATGTTTGAAAAGATCCCACCAGCTGCTGTTTGAAAAAAGGGTTGTAAGGGGCCAGAGTAGAAGCCAGGAATCCAGTGAGATTAGGAGACTATAGCCGTGATCCAGGGGGGAGATGACAGGCTGCTAGCTCCAGGGAACGGGGTGAAGATGGAGTCAAGTGAATAGATCCAAAATGCATTTTGGAGGCAGAAACAGGTTTTACTGATGGGTTGGATATGGTAGGTGAAGAAGAAATCAAAGATATGATGCAGGTTTTTAACTTGAGCCAAAACCAGTGATGCCATTTACCAAGGTGATGAAGAGAGGAGAGAACAGGTTTATTTGGTATTGGAGAAAGAGATTAAAAGCTCTGTTCTGGAGAAGGTGAGTTTGACATGCCGCTAGACACCTTTGTGGAGATATCAGGAGGACGAATGAAGATATAATATGGAGTTCAGGAAAGAAGAGCAGACTGGAGATACGATACTGGGAATCAGCATGCTGTTGGTAGTTAAACCATGAGATTGGAACAGATAGGCGAAAAAAGGGATAAAGTCCTCCTACACTGAGAGGTCTGATTGAGAAAAAGTGGTTAGCAAAGGAGACCTAAAGGAAGCAGCCAATATGCAGAAAGAAACAAGGGGGAGTGTGTTATGGAAGAAAGGATTTTAAGGAAGGAGGATCAACAGTACCAGAGTTCGATAAAATAAGTGTCCGCTGCCCAATAATGAAGTCGTGCTCTGGGAGGTGGAAGACCTTCCAGCTTCTCTACAAGACTGTCCTTGTAAGCTCAGGGCAGTAAAGGCGGGAGGGCAAAAGTTTGGAGAAAAAGGGCCATAAGATAGAGGGGAGGAGCACTTTTAAGTATCAAATGAGATAACACGGAAAATGCATTTTGTACACCTCCCAGTTCTCTGTTAATATCATTGTTGTTTTCGCTAATGAGCTGGGGATGGGACAGAGACCACCGGTGTGAGAGAATAGGTAATACATAAGGAAGCAGCTCGAGAGAAGGAAATTGCATAATGAAGAAAATCCGTTCCTCCTGAGAGCTTGCGTCAAAACCAGGTTTCGGGTTAGGCGAAGAGATCCGGGAGCAGTGTGGCAGTTCACGCCGACCTGACCCCACGAAGACAGC